CTGCTCCTGCCCCCTTGCTGCCAGGGCTCGGGCCAGGGCGCTGGCTGGACTCCTGCATTCCTGCATGTTCCAGGGCACCTGGCTGCTGAGATATTGAAATGATGTCCCATAACCTGCCGGACGCCCCTCAGGCCTGGTGCTCCCGGTCATAGCTCCTAAGCACAAGTTGCTGCCAAGAGGAATAAGGACGGCATTGTCCCCGGGTACGGCCTACTCCCCCTCCCTGAAGGCCCCCCAGACACGCCCTCCTGGAAACTCGGGTGGGGCGGTATTCGGGGCAGATGTGGCCTCTTGGGGGGTCGGCGTCTCCTTTCCCACAGCCTGCCCTGCCTCCCACTCCCTGTAAGATTCTTCCTTTCCCTGGGCCTCAGTTTCCCAGCACTTGGGCAGTGGGGTCTGTGACTGCCTGACCTCGGATCCACGGGTTAGAGGGGTGGGGGGCATGGACACCCCAGGCCATGAGCTCCCCAAGGGCAGGGAGCCTGGCTCAGCATCTCTGAGGCCTCCACCTCTGCCCAGGACAGGAATAGATAACAAGGTAAGATAAAACTCATTTAATCTGGAGTAGATAAAAGTAAACTTTGTTCTGTGATTCTATCTGAGGCCAGCACAGCGTATTCAAATATTTGAAGAACTGTTTAGACTTCAGAACGTAGCAGAGCTAGAAAACAGCATTGCGTGTGGCTGTGGGTTAACACCACGCTCCCTGCCCTCGAGGGAAAACAGGCTTCCCCCTGGGGGGTGGCTGGGGGTATCCTTGGGCAGCCCCTGTCGGCCTCCCCTCTCCCCTCCACCCTGTTATCCATCTCAGCAGTGGTTCTGTCTGCATGGGGGTTTCCTGTGCACCTCTGTCCAGGTACTTGGGCGGACACCTGCCCCATGCACGCTCTGTGGGGGTGGCCCAGGGCTGCTGGAAGTGGCCGGCCCGTGTACCTGTGGGTCTTCTCCAGCCAGCCCCTTCCCTCCTTGGCAAGACTGTCAAGAGTCTCCTGAGGGCCGAGACCCCACCCCCTGGAGCTCACGTGTCCCCTGAGCTCAGCACAGGGTCGGATGCACGCCAGGACACCAAGGTGCACCCTGCTGCAGCGGACATGTCGCCTCTCGCAGCCCTTGCTCCGGTCTGTGGGCTCCTTTTTCCGCAGATCTGATGGCTCTGTTGGCTGCTCTCTGTTCCGTAGCTGGGGTGCTGCAAGCAGCAACAGCACCTGGTCAACTGTCACCCCGAGAACAAGAGGGTGGAGAAGCCGCAGTTGCTGCCTCGGCTCTCCCTCAGAGTGGCCTCGGGCACTGTTGGAGCCTCGGTTTCCCCACACCTGTGGCATCTATTTGATGACACGTTGTGGCAACAACATAGCCTGGCAGGGTCTTGTGGGGATTCGAGTTGCATCTGCAAAGCACTGGAGGGCAGTCGGTCAGTCCCCTGGGACCACTTGCCATTGCTGGGCAGAGCGGTTTGCTTTACTGTCCAGGCCTGTGGGTGGGTGGCTTTTGCCACATCTTTGCAGGAGGAGATGGCACTGAGAGCTCTGGAGCTTGTCCAAGGCTTCAGGGCAAGCTCATGGGCTTAGTCTTGAGTCCTTAGTCCCTGCTGAGACATGCCACCCTGCTGTCCTCTGTGGCCCTGTGAGGAAGTGGCTATGGGCTCTGATTTGTGTTGATGGGGAAACCGAGGCCTGGGATGTTGGGAGGGTGGGCTGGGCTGTCTGTGTTGGAGGGACAGGAGAGGGGTGGGTTCTGGGCAGGGCAGAGCCTGTGGGGGGCTGGTGGGGGGAGGCGAAGGGGCCCCCCAGCTGCTATGGGGTGGACATGCAGGGGGGATGGATTACAAGCTTCTGGGTCAGTAAGGTCTTGGGGAGGGGCAGGGCCAGGCCTGAGCTCCCGGATGCTGGACATAGGTCTGTGCCATGGGCCTGGGGTTTGTGCACATGGCTTCCTCTGTGTCTGTGTCTTCCATGACCCCTGGGACCATGGGGCTCCCTAGATATTCTGTCCTCAAGAACCCACCCTGAGGGTGCCTGGAGTCCCTAGAACCCCCACAGTGTTTCCCCCAGGGAGGAAGAGGGCGGGGGTCCCCTTGGCCTGGTGATATCCAGGGCCACAAGCTTGCCTGAGGGGCCCTGGAGGCTTTGCCTTATCTTTATGGTTCCTGGTGATCAGAGCAGGCAGCCTCTGTGTTCTCTCTGTGGACGGGGCACTTGGGGCAGCACCTGGAACACCGGCCCCTAGGTGGGGCTCCCTGCACCTTCCCTCTCCTGAGTTCTGTGTGCTGTGGCCTCCAGGCCTGGGGACAGTTAGCGAAACCACAGAGGAGCAGCCCACGCCCTGCCGGGAGCCACAGACTCTTGGCGACACCTGCAGGCCCGGGGCTCCCGCCTGGCAGGGTGGCTCCTGGGCTGAGACCACCAGCCCCTGCCCCGGGTCCTGAACTCCTGTCTGGAGGCCTGGACGGCTCTTTGGAAGCACCTTGTAAGGCAGCTTTATTGAGACGTGGCCGCACACCACAGTCCACTGTGTAAATGTGCATCTTGGTGGCACTCAGGACATTCAGGGCGTCATGCAGCCACCATCGCTAAGTCTGCAACGTTTAATCACTGAGGAAACCCTGTGCCATCGGCAGTCGCCCCCGCCTCGACCCCCACGACCCCTGCCTGCTTCCTGCTTCTGTGGATCTGGCTTGTGGACGTGATCACACAACAGGTGGCCCTCTGTGCCTGGTGTGTCCATGTGATGGTTCCAAGGGCCATCCACACTGGAGCACAGATCAGCGTTCGTTCCCTTCCGTGGCCAGGTGACACCTGTCCTGTGGACGGACGGGGCCTTTGTGTGTCCGCCCCTGCCGGCGGGCTTTGACAGCCCTTTAGGTTCTCACGCCGGGAGGGGCTGGGGTGTGGGGGCTCCTCCAGCCCTGGGCGCCGGGGTGGGGCTGTCGGGGGCAGCCGAGGCTGGCCGGCCGCGAGCTGACCGCCGTGCTCCTGTCTTGCAGCTTCCTCATCGTGCTGGTCTGCCTCATCTTCAGCGTGCTCTCCACCATCGAGCAGTACGTCACCCTGGCCACGGGGACCCTCTTCTGGATGGTACGTAGGCGCCTAAGGGCTGTGACCATGATGTCACAGCTGCCCTGGGGGCTCACGTCTCCCAGGGACTCGGCCCAGTGGGTGGGGCAGAGCTGCTCGTGGCTTCTCCCTGCACAGGACCCTGCCACCCTGCCCTGACACTGGGGGGCTGGGGCTAGAGGTGTGGCTACCTCCCTGGCCCCCACACTCACCAGGCCACTCAGGGTGTGTGTGCAACAGCCGGGGGAGCTGAGAAATGAGAGGAGCCTGGCTCTGGTGGTCTGGGAGGGCTTCCTGGAGGAGGGGACCAGGAAGAGAGGACAGGAGGATGTGGGTATGATGGAGCCGGTGTCGTGGCCAGTGGGGGCTGGCCCAAACCTGCATGCAGCAGTCCCAGGGTTTGGGTGGCTCCCGCCTGGGTTATGGCTGGTACATGGAGCCTGCAGGCGTCCTGGCCCTGTCCCCCCACCCCAGTCAACTGGATGGTCCTTTCCATTGCCTGAGGGGCTCTCAGCCCAGTATCACCTCTTGTAGGACTGTCCTGGCCACCCCACCATGTGAGCAGCACCTCCCGGCGTGCACAGCCCTCCCTGTGGCCGAGGTCGGGCTCTGAGTGCCGGGCATCTCCCTCCCGGTGGGTGAGGGCTGGGACAGCCTGCCCTTGTGCCCGTGTCCCAGCACTTGAGGAGGCAATTGGAGAGCGGGCGGAATTTCCCGCCGCCCGGCCCTGGCCTTCCTTGGCCTTTGCAGCCTGTCTGAGCCCCTCCCTCTGAGAGTGGGATGTGAGGACCCCTCTGCCCCCCAGACAGCTGTGAGCCGCTCAAGACAGGGCCGGGGCCGGGTCTCCAGATCCCATGCACCATTTATGCTGGGCCAGGCGCTGGGAGTGGGACGGGGCCGGCTCACGGTCTGATGGGAAACCCTGAAGTTGGTCTGGTTGTGAGGCTGCTGAGCAGTGGGGGTGCGGGACACCCACCATGTGGGGGGCACATGGGATCCCCAAGGAAGCTGCCTGAGTGCAGATGGCGGCGGGCATGCGGGGCCCGGCAGGACCGTGTCCCGCATCTTCCTGTTTCTGCGCATTTGTGTGTTTTTGTGTCTTATTGTGGAACGTTCCCTACATCTACAAAAGGGGAGAACCCGACCCAGCTTCCTGTGTCCCAGCCTCAGCAGGGCCGACGAGGGCTGCTGTCACGCTTATCGGTGTTGTGTCTTCCTGGCCAGCCCAGCCCCCGAGTCTGTTCGCGGTGACCCTGGGAGGGGGGGCCGTCTTACTTTAGGCAGTCAGCTTTATCTTTCCTTCATTGCTTCTGGGTTTGGAGTCGCAGGTGAGTGTCCCACTCTCGGGGGTCATAAGAATCCCCCCTGGGGTGTTCCAGCACGGCCTGGGCTGAGGCGTGTGCTCGCGCCGCTGACACCGGGTGCTGGGAATTTCCCAGCGAGCGGGATGGAGCGCGGGCTGTGGGCACCTGTCCCCGGCCTTCCAGTCACGCCAACGGCACTTGTTCCAAGGCCATCTTTTCTCCCCGGTTCGAGGCACCTGGAGGAAGACCTGCGTCGGGGTTTTCTGCTCTGTCCCCCGGGGCCACGCTGATTTAGTTCTCCAGCACCGGAGGCCGTGACATCGGGTGATTCCTGCCTGTGCACCCCCTTCTCGTTCAGGGCTTCCTTGCTCTTCTCAGGGGACTTCAGTCAGCTCGTCTAGCCCCACAAAGGCACCTGATGGCATCTGATGCGTTAATTTGGGGAGACTGATGTCTCAGGGTGTCCACGATCACGGTGTGTCTATCGGGAGGCTCCTATGGTTGGTCATGCAGGTTTTGGACAGTTCTCGTTATGTTTATTCCTAAGACTTTACCGAGGATAATCAGTTGTTGTTAGTTGCTGTCATAGACGGGGGCTTCTCTTGCAGGATGTTTTCTGGGGACCTGGGGTGTACGGAAGCCACTGACTTGTGCTTTTCGGCTGCGCGTGGCTGCGCGTTGTTCCTGCTCATGGCTCTTCTCCCCTCAGTTCCTCTGGGTTCCTGGGCGGGCGCCAGTCAGTAAACACACGGTGTGGAACTCGCTGGGGTCCTTCCTGCTCGTGGAGGTGCTGCTGTCGGTGGCCCTGACCTCCGATGGCTCATGTTCTGTCAGAGTGCCTGCTGGGAGGCAGGTCTGACAGTCTCATCGTGGCGCCATCGTCGTTGTCAGGTTGAGACTTACATCTCCCCTCCTGCTCAGAGCAGATTCCAGGAGCCTGGGGCACCCCCCAGCACCCATCCAGGGTCGTCCTGTCCTCCTCACCCACCCCAGAGCCAGCTCTCAGAGAGGCACCTGGCCAAGTCGCTGGCTGTGTCCTGTGGGAGGACGCCCTGACCCACCTGGCACCCGGGGAGGAGTGTCTGCCCACAGCGGGAGCGTTTGCTCTGCCAGCCCCCCACAGGCTGGGTCCATGTGGGTCCCTGGTCTAGGACTTGTCCCTGGAGGGCCTGGGACCAAGGAGCCTGAAAGTTCCCAGGTTGCGAGAGGCTGGCAGATGGAACATTCCCCCAGGAGCTCTCCGTGTGAGGCTGCGTGCGTCTGTGAACAGGCGTGCACATGTGTGTGCGCATGTGTGGGTGTTACACGTGGCCGTATTTGAGTGTGTACATGTGTACTGACCCTATGTGTATGCACGTGGTATCATGACCCGTGAACGTGCACTGTGCGTGTGCTTCCGTGCGTGGCTGTATACATGCATGCATTCCTGTATGTGTGTGTACCTGTGTGTGTGTACCTGTGTTCATGTGGCTGTGCGTGAGCCCGTGAGCTGCCTCTTCTGTTCCTCATGGGATGCTCAGCCCCTTGTCCCCAGGTGACTTGGGTAAGTTCCTCAGCTACTGGGGGTTCACTCGGGCTTTAAAGGGCTCCAAGAACGTGGAACTCCCGGAGTGGACGTGAGGCCCTCCCAGGTGCCCCCGCCTGGGCCCTGCATCTGCTGGGGCTGTCAGCACTGAGGGTCCCAAGCTCAGGTCCCGACTTCCCAGGTCCTCAGTGTGGGTCTCGGGCAGAGCCTTGTCCCCACCTCCTGGTGAGGCCTGGCCCACGCACCCTCACGGACTTGCCCTAAGCTCTTTGTGTGACCATTTGCAGCCCGGGAATCACCGTGGTGGTGGGCTCCCAGGGCACCTGCATTCAGAGTATGAACCAGGCACAGTGACAGAGAACAAACTAGGCTAGGCAGCGTGTCTTACGGGGAGATGAGCTCCCTGTCCCCAGATTTCATGGTGGGGTGCCGAGGTGCAGCCCGGGAGCCGGGGAGTGTGTGGCTGAGGGCTCCTTTCTCCCTCCTCTGTCCCCCCGCCCCAGTCCCGCATCTCTGGGGCCCTCGTACCACCTGGTGGCCATTCTCTGAACTGCGGCCACAGTTTGTACTGCAGCCACGAGGCTGCGCTCAGCATGGCCGGGCCCGGTCGCCGTCCTTCACCTCCCCGCGCACACTGGTTGGGGATGGCTGTGCCACCGAAGCAGCTCCCCTGCCTGGGGGCAGGGGTGCCCAGCCCTGAGCAGAGAGCCCTCTGCCCGCTGTGGTCCCAGTCTCAGAAGTGGCAGAGACCACGGCCACCTCCCTCTGCCCCGTTCCCCGACACCCGCCTCCCTGCCGCCCTCAGGGCCCTGTCCACACAGTAGCCGGCGGGGGTTTCTCAAAGTCTGATCATTCCAGAAGCTCCCTGTGGCATTTGAGATAAACTCCACCATCTCTCACGGCCACACATGCTGGCGCCCGCCACCCCGTGCCCCGCTCACTCATTCCGGGCGTGTTTACGCTCCCAGCTGCCCCGGGCCTTTGCATGTACTCTGCCCTTGGCCTGGCTGTTGCTCTGGCGTGTCACAGGACTGCCTCCCTGGTGGGTTTCAGGCCTGGGCTTGGCCATCGTCCCTTCAGTGCCCTCTCGACCTGCCCGTCCCTCCCCCTCGGCAGTCTGGGTGCGATGGGGACTCTGCAAGTGGGCTTGAGAGCTTTCTGTCTCCCTTGCTGGGTTCCACAGTCCTGGGGGGCAGGAGCCCTTTGGCCAGCTTGGCACTCTAGGCTTGGGACCCCCCCCCCCCTTTCAAGCCCATGAGCTGCCCTACAGGGACACTCAAGTTGCTGTGTGGTCCCGAGCCTCAGTTTCCTCACCTGTAAAATGGTGGGGGTGAGAGACAGCCTGAGACCTTCCCTTCCCAATCGGCCTTGCCAGATTTCCAAGCCGTTCCCCAGCTCCTTGTGGAGGCTGATCCGTCAAGGCAGGTCAGAGCTGGCTGTGCCCACCTGATATGCAAGAGACATGGCCACAGGGGGACGTTAGGGTACAGCGGGGAGTGAGGCAGTCACCGGTCCAGCCTCAAGGGCAGATGGGCAGGTTCATCCGAGGTACGGCCAGGAAGGGGTGTGTGGGACCCTGAGAGGGGACTGTGGTGGAGGGGTGTGACCGCAGGGCTTCCTGGGGAAGGACGTGACAGTGGGTTCCAGAGACCTCAGTCCTCGAAGGTTGAGGACAGGTGTTGGCCCAGGTGGAGGGAGAGGTGTGTGGGTGCGGGTGGGAGAGGGTGGGCTTTTAGAAGGGGACAGAGGTGTTTGCAGACCCCGGAGCTGGTGGGGACGTGGCCAGCCTCTGCCGCAGGGACACCAGGGGGCGCTCTTGTCACGTGCAATTCGGGTGCTGCTGGCTCTGGCCCAGGAGTGCTGAGCGCCAGGAGCCCAAACCACAGGCTTGGGGATACCAGAGGGGCTGGGCGTGGGCTCCGCGCGCGGGATTCTGAGAGCACGATGTTTAAAGAGTGGAAAAAAAAGTCTTTCAATGCTGTGTTTCCCCAGAGAGCCCGTATTTTTTCCTCTCTTGCATACCCCAGCTTTTCTGGTGCCAGAAAGCTGTTATCTCAGCTCGGTCTAAGGAAACCCCAGGGCGGCCTCGGAGGGATTAAGCATTCTGCTGAACCAGGGATATTTGGTGGGCCTGAAAAAGCCATTTTGGGAGGAATCTCATCTCACCGGGGGTCCAGCCAGGACTGTGAAGG